CTTGTCGTCGTAGGTTACAGTGGAACCAGAAAAGGCGGTGTGATAGCAAGAAGAACGTGATTGATTGCATGCCAAACTTGAGCGAAGGTCGCCTGCTCTCGCCTTGCTGGAGCTAATGAACGTCACGTCTTTACTAAAGGGAAACGCATTGCGCATAGTGTCTTGTCTGTTAGCCTGTCGCAATTTTTCGCAAGGCCAGCGTTAGCGGCAACCACGCATTTAGTACATCTACACATCCAGAAAAAGCAGGCGCGTTTCTTTATTGGTTTCAGAGCTATTTTTTTCACATGGATGAATGCTATGAGTGACACTGACGCTTGGGGTGAGTTTGGCACCTGGGTGTGTGTTTGGCGTTGACAAAATACGCAGGTTACGACAGACGCTTAGCAAAGACGCGTTAAAGAACTAATCACAGGTGCAACGGCCATGATGCATTACTGCACATTACCAAGAATGCTTAAAGGACTGTGGTAGATACGAAAAGCCTATTTATTCAAGGGTTCGAAGTACGGGATGATGGCGCAGTGAATAGCGTGCCTGGCATATGTTCAACTTTCGATGACGGAACTTTGTCTTCTGACCGTGCGTATTTCTTCGACACCAGTTCCATGACGGAAATACGTCATAGAAGTCTGGGTGGGCCCCAGCATAAAACACGGTTGTGGTAAAATTATGGAAACGAAAATATAGCTTCCCGGCTACAGCGAACTAAACACAATCGAATAACACGCCTAATGTTCTACTGATAGAGCTTCAGCTGCGGTGTCGCACATTGATCCTCATGGCTACGCGTAGTGCTGATTAACACTGCCAGGTCTAAGTGAACAGATATGAAAAGACAATTTGTGCTGCTATTTTGTCAGGTTTTGTACCGTTTAATTAACATAATTCACTATTGCAGTCAGGTCATATGATGGTGAACTTACGAATTTGTCCTTATTTAGTGATATTAACCGCTTTTACTATTTCACGTTGAAGTTGCTTTTCGTTGCCATCTCTGACGTAGCGTTCCGAGTACTGGCGCTTGCTCCCACAGTTCCTGCACTGAAGGCTAAGACCCTTGTAAGCTTTGTGAATCATTAGGCTGCGATCGCCAATCTATAGCCTTTTGATAAAAAAAGGTGCTGCTTTGAAGCTTCTTAAGGTGTACCCCTTCTTCAGAGCGTGTTCAATTTTCTCCCTGGTATACCTTCTTATTAGGATACCTTACGCTTAATAATCAACTTCGAGCCCCGCCGTGGTGGTCTAGTGGCTAAGGTACTCGGCTGCTGACCCGAAGGTCGCGGGTTCGATTCCCGGCTGCGGCGGCTGCATTTCCGATGGAGGCGGAAATGTTGTAGGCCCGTGTACTCAGATTTGGGTGCACGTTAAAGAACCCCAGGTGGTCAAAATTTCCGGAGCCCTCCACTACGGCGTCTCTCATAATCAAATGGTGGTTTTGGGACGTTAAACCCCACAAATCAATCAAATCAATAATCAACTTCGATAGCTCTACCAACTCCATTTTGTCTGTTGTACTTGAGGCGTTCATCTTTAAAGCTTTTTAATGAGATTCCTTGTTTCCTGGCACAGCTTGCTAGTGTCCTGTCCAAGTACCGTACCTCCAAATTCCACTGCACACTCCGTAATGCTGCTTGTCAAATTATCATTCACTGCGTCAACGCTAAGATGGGTTTCCTCAATATGAGCTATGTACCTGTTCTGAAGCGAGACACTGAATTTCTGTACTTTCCCTTTCAGTGCTAGTTCATTGATTGGCTTCTTGCGTATGTTTCTGTCGTTGCTTTTTCAAGTCTAGGCGAATTTCAGACCGTACCATTCTATGGTGACTGCATAGTACCTTGCCATGCACTTCTACATCCTGCACGATGCCTGGGTGTGCCCTCAGTATAGATTCTGTTTCGTTCCTTTTTTCCCCATTAGGGCTCATCCATGTCCACTTACGGTTCCCTCACTTTTGGTAGAAGGTATTCAAATCCGAAAATTATTGCGTTCGGTGAATTCTATTAGTAGCTCCCCTCTGGCATTTCTGGTACAGATGCCTTAGTCTCCCACTGCATATTCTCCAGCCTGCTTCTTCCCTACTTTTGCACTGAAGTCTCCCATCAGTATATTGTACTGTGTTTTTACCTTACTCATTGCCGACTCCACGTCTTCATAGACGCTTCCAACTGATACGTCATCATGGCTGGATGTAGGTGTGTAAGCCTGTACCACCTTCGTCTTGTATCTCCTAATGAGCATAATTACGAAACCACCCTTTCAATATTGATATAGCATTCCTCTATGTTGCCAGCTATGTTCCGGTGAATCTATTAGGGCAATATATATATATATATATATATATATATATATATATATATAATATATATATATATATATATATATATATCCTTCATATATTACGAGCAGTCGTTTGAGTCAGTAGAAATATCAGCAACTATGCAGACAATGCGTATTAAGGGCATCGACGAAGCATATGTGAGAATCCCGAAAGAAATCTACAGATCAACTGCTACCATAGCGCTTCATGAAGAAAGCAACATAATACCAATCAAGGAGGGTGTAAGGCACGGGGGATACATTCTCTCCAGTGTTATTTACCGCGTGCTTACAGGACGTTTTCAGTGGCCTAGAATGGGAACAGTTAGGAATAAGAGATATTGGAGGGTGTCTCACTAAGCTGTGCTGCATCGATGGCATTGCATTGCCGAGTAACTCATGGTTACTGAATTAGACAAGGAGAGCAGAAAGTTAGGTCTTAAAAGTAAACTGCAGTAAACGAAAGTAATGTACAACAACCTCGGAAGAGACCAGCTCTTCGAGATAAGTAATAGTGCACTTGAAGTTGTAAAAGACTATGTCTACTTAGGTAATAACCATGGAGCCAAGCCATGAGATTGAAGTAACAAGAGTAATAGGAATGGGGTGGAGCACATTTGGCAAGCACTCTCAAATTATGACAGGCAGATTGCCTCTATCACTCTAGAGGAAGATGTATAACAGCTGTAACTTGCCGGTACTTAGTTACGAAGCAGAAGCATGGATACTTATACTAGGGTTCAGCATAAATTGAGGACGACGGGGCGAGCGATGGAAAGGAAACTGGTAGGTGTATCATTAGCAGACAAGAGAGCAGAGTTGATTAGAGAACAAACTGGGGTTATAGATATCTTAGTGTAAATCAAGAAGAGGAAATAGATATAGACTGGGCATGTAGCGCATATACAGGATACCCACTGGTCATTAGGGCAACTAACTTAATTCCCAGAGAAGGCAAGCGGGCAAGGGGAGACAAAAGGTGAGGTGGGCAGATGAGATTAAGAAGTTTGCGGGTATACATAGGCAGCAGCAAGCACAGGACCACGTTGACTGGCAGTACACGGAAGAAGTCTGTCCTGCAGTGGACGTAGTCAAGTTGATGGTGTATATGTACCCCTTATGCCTAAGATGCTCGATTCATGACACAACTCGATACATAAGGTGTCTGTGAAAGTAACACTGATGCTCCGGTGGCTACAACATCTCATAATGTTTAGAGCAACTAAGTTTGTGCAATTTCGCTGTGATGAGTTCTACAAATACGTCGCCAGCATTACTATTAGCTTGCAATTACGGTTATTGTAGCGCCTCCTATCATGCTTCTTAGATTTTTAATGGTTGTTTTCGATGTACTTAGAGCTTAGAACACCCTAAACGCCATTGAACGAGTCCCGCACCTCCTATCAAGTTCTTTGATTTTATTCAATCGCTGTTTTTCGATGAACTTTGAGGTCAGAACGTCCTAAACACCGTTGTACGGGCCCCGTAAGATATTTGAGCCTCCGGCTGCGCCTTGAAGAAGTCAATTCCTGCAAATAGGAGACGTAGCTGCAAAAACAAATTGTACGGTTCACGTGTACTTATTGAGCAGTCCAACTAAGAGTACTTGTATTCTGCTCTTAAAGCTGCTATAGGTCTTGAGCTGCAGAATATTTTCGCTGCGCAGACTCTTAAAGCTGCCCTCTTTTTCTGGGCTATTGTTACCAAGCGCAACGCATGCCATGACAGTATGTCTCTTTATTTACAAAGGAATTTAGACGCCCTGCACCTTGTTGATCCTTTTCCCTGTTCGCAACTCAGATGAGATCATGACGGTGCTGAATGAGAACAATAATTCAAGTTGTACTGCGTTTTTTGCAACATCGTTACCTCATTTTTGCCACATTATTACTTCGTGAGCAGTGTGAAAGGAGCTATTGACGATGACAATAATGAAGTGGTGTTTAGAAATAATGTTGGTATTCCCATAGAAAGCTTCTTGGAGCTACTTTGGTTTTGCTTATGCTCCACAGTTGTTTTATTTGGGTAGAGGCTGTATGGACAGAAATAGGGAATATGTATTGGTTTAAGGATAGTCGCAATACTAAACAGTATATTTCTTTGAAAAGTGGATAAAACCCACGAACAAGATTTTGAGAGATTCGTAAACCCAATATGAAGACTGCATAGAGTCAGTTTGCAACAGAGTTTGAAGCACCGGCGTAACTCAGCCTTTGTCCGACTAAGCTACACCAGCTAGCATAGTCGGTAGAGAAAGAAAACCGTCATAGCTCATTCGTATAGTATGGGGCTGCCACGTTGATGACTGGGGTTTTATTCCCGATAGGCAGGTGATGTGTGCTTTTTATTTCGTATTTTTTTTTATTTGGCGCAATAGGTAATACGGACACCATCGGCGGCAGCAGTGGACAACTGCGATGACAGGATCGGCCGTTTTTGTGATTTCACAACAGATTTTGCTATTAAAAACGATGTTTTAAACACTCCAAAGCCCCTACCACACCTGCTCATCTGAACGCGGCCGCATATACCACGTATGCTCTGGGTTTTTGCACACTCTGCAAAGAAGCAGAAGGCTGCGGGAAATGTTTTAAACGATTGTAATGATTTTTATAACAATAGAGATTTTTAAGGGCCCACTCTGTTATAGCCTCCTGTCTTTTGTTGGTGTCACGCAGTTCCCACGTTGAGTGCATATAGGCTGAGCAGGCTGGGCGTTTGTAATGCCAGCTCTTGCTGGTTTGTGAACTCTGGAACCTCCGAAATGCCGATTCGCCGGCCTGATCAAGACGCCTGCGCTAGGGGTTGCAACACATCTACGGTAAAGGACAGCAGAGGCGACAGCGGTGGGACTCGGACCCAGCACGGCCGTAGCCATAAACAGTGGGAAAACACTATAAAGTTGTATATAGAGCAAAAAATAGATTATCGCCAACAAATCAGACAGTGCCAGTAACCACTAGAAAACACCGCGTGAAGGCAACCTAACTGAGCCCCTCATGCAGTCTGGTCTCACAAACAACAACAAAACTGTTTAACATCGGTTCAGTAATCTATAAAAACATCAGCATTCCCTTTTTTCACATCCAATATCACTGTGGAATAGCTTGCTCGAAGAAGTAGTTCAAGCTAATACAACAATATCACTTGCGCATTTCTCAAACAGTCTTTTGTTTGACATGTAGGTAAATTCATGCTGAACAGGTGTTCCGGCAGTTGAATACCGCGTTCAATTTCGTTTTTTATGTCTAGTTTTTGATTTTGTTCGTGTGTTGAAACGTTTATGTGCATGTTTTAAAACTGTTATAATGTTGCGTCCTTCGAATTGCGAAGTGTGTTTACGTATTTTTCTTTGTTGATTGCACCTTACGTTTTCTTTACCAGTAATTTATTAACTGGTGTATGCACTTTTATGCACTATGGTATTGTTTGTGTTTAATGCAGTTACCACTCCTGCTGGGGCCCGAGTAGGGCCAGCAGTATTTGTGAATAAATAAACAAAAAGCGACAGGAACAAAAAAACAGAAAGTACTACAAAATAAAACATATTCATACCACAACAACATATATAAAAATAGAAAAACGAGCAAAGAAGCACTAGATAAGATCACAGGTGAATAGAACAAAATACAGACTAACAAAAAATTGTCAAAAAATATTTTACTCTCTGTGAATGCGCTATGTGGTGTATAGCGTCATCAGGCAGGAGTGACCAGAAACGTAAGTTTTTTTTTATATAAATACGCAGAGCTACTGATACGTGGTAGCACCAGATTGTTTTAGTTAAAGCGCCTGAATTTTTGAGCGTAATGCAGGTAACACTTACTCGTATTGTGATAGCAAATGTACAGACACTTTGCGCTGGATTTTGCTGCCGGCGTCGGTATTGACTTCACCATCACTTATCGTACATGTACACGGATCTATATATATTGTTGCGGGGTCACGGCTAAAACAGAAGTGACAGAGTTGGCTTCTGTTTACATAGTTGGTCAGTCGAGAACACGTTCGCTGCAAAGTTCTGTCTCGCATCGTACCCAGCATTTCCAACAAAATGTTGCAAATTCATTAACTACTTTAGAGTAGAAAACAGTCCAGCAGTCAATATGGCAGCTGTTGTGTATTTTCGAATGCCAAAAACGTCACTGTCCTCTTCTTCGCACCACCTCACATAAAGACAGCCGCGACCCCGCAACATTGACCGTTGGAGCCAAAAGCGCCGACCCTGTAGCAGGTGTTGGACTAGAGGTACGGCTTCAGGCGAGCGACATGGATGACGTCGGAAGATGTGAAAGGTATCGAAGAGTTTAGAGGGGCTATATGATAGGTAACATCAGTTACCTGTTGTAGCACACGGTAAGCTCCGGAATACTTGGGTGAAAACTTTTCAGTGAGGCCAACATGCCACGACAGAATCCACAAAAAAAAAACGAGGCCTCCTGAATAAAGCGCGTGTTTTGAAGGTAACTATCATAGCTATGTTTTTGGTGGAGCTGCGAGTCTGAAAGGCATCGATGGGCAATCTGACTGGCCTTCTTAGCTGTGCTAATAGCGCGGCGAGCATATGCTGTGGATAGCTCGGCAGGGTTGGGTATAAGCGTGTCAAACGGCAATGTCGGGTCTTTTCCATACAAAAGGTAAAAGGGAGCATATTCAGCAGCCGTGGCATGAACTATTGTAGGCCAAAGTGACAATCTGTAAACGAAGCAAGGAAAAATAATCGAGAAAAAACTCGGACGTGTGGAGTCGGACGTGGCACCTGTGCATCGTGAATGCGAGGCGTTAACCTCTGAGCCACGGAGGAGACCTTCTTGAAAGTTCAAACGGCAAGGCATTTATATATACCACTAACCGCTGATGAGGGGCATCCCTGGATAACTATGGTGTCTTCAGGCTTACCAGCAAGATGGTGCAATGAGCACACATCGCCACATCGTCACGACGCAGTGGCGCGCGCTCTCATCTACCACGTGTACTTTGCCCAACGAACAGATGATGGATGGACGCTCCTTTGCACACCCTTATCTCGCGGTGGAGAGGATTGTACGTCATGGCTGGGCCCAGGCTCACCCTGAAACAACTCTATTGTAGTTACCGGGCACACAAAGATCACTTAAATCAATGCACAGTCTCCGTTTGCGAAAAGGCGCGCTTTTCAGACCCAGCAAAGTAACAACTGAGGCGCTTATTCAGTTCATATCTACCTGTTAATACGTTTTGTGCGTCATTTGTGCATGAGAGACGTGGGGCACGTTTTGATATGCTTGCCACTCTGCACCTGACCTTATGATTAGCTGCCATCGCGTTCATTGCTTCGTCTTCGCAGGAAAGCTGTGACTTCGGTCGTTTATGGCGTCGTAATTTCAGTGCAGTGTAATACTTCGGTCTTTAAAATTACGTATATGTACATTTTCGAGGTTAACAGACACACTTCTTAATCTTTATGCCTTGATGTTTAGGCTCAATTATTCGTAATATTTGCTTTTTGGTTGAAAACGCTCAAAAGTATGAACACAGCAACTTAATAGGCATGAGTTGGCGTTGAACAAGGAGTTAAAGCTTTGTCGGAAAGCTGAATTGTTCGAAAGGTACCAACAGACACACCGAAATTTTCCGTTCAATTGCCCAAAGAAGGACGATCTTTTCTAAAAAAACTACCACAGTCAAAAGCGAGAGAAGCACAGCAATAGCGACTCTGGAAGAGCGTTTATTAGAAGCTTTCCCAGCGAAAATCGTTATAAGATCACAACTAGGGTCGTCTGTGGTGCTGTAGTTGTAGGCCACTGTTAGTGTCAGTAACCACTGTTGTGCAACCTGGAAAAAAACGTAAAAACACAGAAAACAATAAAATTGAAAACCTGGTTTTCTGCGTGGCGGCCCTGCACTTTCCCATGAAACCACTCCACTGCCTGCAACGCAGTTGCCAACTGACCCTAGACAGGCTTCATGTCTGGAAAAGCATTGTGCGAATATGAGAATTCAAGCGTTTTTAGAACAGCAAAAAAACAACGAAGCTTCACACGATGCCAAAAGCGTAACGAATAGGTCGTCAAACACTTAGACCGCTTATTACTGAAGCTGTTCATGATGGTGATGATGGTGATGGTGCCTACACCATGACTCATACCCACTGAACGTTTAGGCCTCTCAAATAATAAATAACCCTAATAAAAGCAGAATAGGCAGTACCTAACTGGCCCCTAAACATCCTCCAATATTTTTCCTAACATTTTAGGTAAACAAGCGCATGACGTGCAGAGTGCCGTCGCGATCAACAATGCCTCTTGCCGCAGCGCTACAAGTAGTGGGCGCGCCACAATATCGAAAAACACAATAGCTTCTGCTTTCCGGTCTCCGCCATTCCCGCCACTGACATTTGTGACACCACCAGTGAAACTTGGTGACGTTACCACTTTCAATGCTGGTGATTGGCCGAACGACAACTGACGACTTCCGGTCACTTTGCAGACAGCTGTTCGCGCGCACCTTGTTGTGCTTGGTCATGTTGCCGCTTGCGAATCGACATCTGTGGCCTGTAACAAAATACAGGGTCCATACAGGCACGATTTTTAGGGGCACGGGCTGGCACAACAGCAACAGCGGTTAGTTAACAATCAGAACACCCAGATAACACACACAACACAGTTGACGGCGCGCTGGGTTGTTGAAGTGGCGGATCGCAGCAACCGGAAATCGACGCCGTCTCGATCAGTGCGTCAGCGGTGACTATCCCACGCAAGATGAGGAGGAGCGCTGGGCTGACTCACCAAGGAGGGGCCAAGCAGTTTTTGAAGAACGTACCGTAGAAAATATGGAAAGAAGCGATCGTCATGTTTCGATCATCAAACGCAAGTAACTCCGCTATTATGGCACCATTTCGAAAAACTTTCATGGCTACGTATTCGTTGTAAACTCGAAAACAATTTAATCACCTCAAGTAAATTGGACTGCTGGACGATATAGGGGCACTTTAAAAACAAAATAGTTCAGTAAACAGTTTTCGCCATTTCTATCAGACAGAATATTGTGACGGGCTCGTGACGTGAACGAATGGAGAATGCTGCGAGTCGAATAATAAACTGCTGCATTTGGCAAACTTGTGCCCAGTAAAGTCGCATTACAGTAGCAGTATTGCAACAATAGCGGCGAAAGGAGCGTCAACCGACGATCAACTTACAGGCACCGAAGCTTGTCGGCATTTACACCCCTGCCATCGAATGTTATAGCTTTATCACTAGTGGCAACATAGATTCCAGAATTATCTGCAATTTTCAAAAAGCAAGCATTATTTGAACAAAGCAAGCTACTACAGCCTCGAAGCTACTCGGACACTGTAGGTGCGGTTCGCGCTGAACGTAGTGTCTTGGGGTGATAACAAAACTTGAGTCAAAAACGTGGCAGTGCCATCCTCTGAAGAAGACATCGTCCCGATGTTTTAACGAAAGACAAAGGTACAACAATGTAGACAATAAACAATAAGTACAAGCGATAAAGTACAGCAATAGAACGAAATACAGTCCTCAGGTTTGCGCATGAAATGACTTGAGGCCCACGACACGACGACTTCTGGTCGAGCACGGCGCCGTTGAGAGTACGTAATGCGTTCGGGAGCAACCTGGTAGTCGAGTGGGCCGAGACGTCGAATTTACCCTGTATGGTCCAAAGTACCATCGCAGATGTTTCACACTGAGCCCACGTTTGTGTATTAGCATCCATACCCTGACACGGTCCCCGTGCTGGTACTCCACGAAGCTTCGTCGAAGATTTTAATGGCGGCTGTCGATCGCCTGCTGGCTGTTGATGGGTGGTTGGGCCAGTTAA